TCCTGAAGTACTGCTTTCTGCATCAGGCCGTTGACCCAACCATTGGCAGATACGACTATCAGCACAATGATTGCTGAATTCACATCCCACATGTCAACAATCTCAAGGGCTAAATTAAGATATTTACTTGCTTCATCTTATTCAGCTTTCACGAGATTCTTGTCATGTGGGATGGTTATATCAATTATATCATTGGGCGACGGTTTGATCGATATATCACCACAATGTCAGGTTTGTTTGCAACAATTGTTCTGTCTGTGATGATAGTTCGATTCCAATACAGTGTGACATCTCCATTTTTAAAAACTGGGTCATGCAGATACTTATAATACGGCACTTCAGATTCAACAAGTTTATATTTCAAAGCATGTTGAGTTGATGAATAATCCTGGTTACAAGATTATGTCTATTCAAGTATTCTCCATTAGCTAGGTGAGAACAACCCTAAATTATAATATGCCGGATGGATTCGGGACGGGACGAAGACATGCACGACAAATGTCAACAGTTCCATCCTTTATAATATATCTTTTATAGTTGTTCCTCAACATACCTTCGTCCATAATTGCACAGATAAAAGCTTCCGCTTCTTCAAATAAGTTACAGTATAATTATTATTATGATCTCGTCCATAATTGCACAGACAAAACCTTTCGTTTCTCAAAATAAGTTACAGTAGGTATAATTATTATTATTATGAGCTATCGTCAATTTTGACGTTAGTTTGTTCAATAAACCTTTTCTTACACTAATGTATAGTCTCAACTTATTTCATAACTATATTATACTCGCAGTATGTTATAAAAACGAAAAAAATATAATAGCAATCATAGGTAACCAAATATTCGAAATTCGTAAAATCGCCCAAAGAGAAATAGATAGTTTAAAAAAGAAAAATTAGTTTTATTTTAAGTCATAACTTTTGTAAGACTGTTTTAATTCATTATCATGTTTAACGGCTTACTCACGCCACTGTTTGATGAGGAACTCGACTAGTTTCAAGCCACGCTAGGGGCTCATATTTATGAGCAGCATTGGGCGACGTTCGTCGCGTCGTGTGTCGCACAATGAAAATCAGCCCCTAGCATGGCAATGTCATTCTAACACACACATACAAAACTGCCCTAGTTAAGAATTTGTGTTAGAAGGACATTTCATAGAGGAGAACATTACACACAACACGAAGACGAGGTGTTATGCTTCCTAATGCCAAAAGTCCGGTAACGCACTTGTAACGCCTCTGGTGTTCCAGGTGTCTATGGGCGACGCCGATTGTAAGATCCGTCTGCTCGTTAACCGACTCATCCCATGAAAAAATAAATATATAGATAATATTAATATATCTGGCTTGAAAATTGGACAAGATTAATATCTTTATCTATCTCAATAGATGGAATGTGATGTTTGACTGCAAGATTGGCACGGTGGCTGGGCAACCGGCTGTTGCGCATCGTGTAGCGGATTCGATTCCCGCATGGAGTAACTCTCTAAGTGATCCACAAATTGTTGTTTCGGATCTGGGAACATGTACGTCGGTAAACGCACCCGTTTAAAAAGAAAATAAAAAAGATGTTTATGAATGAAACGAGTATCGTCTGATAAATTGAAAATTGATAAGTATATCTACTTAATTGGATATTTTGGAAAATTTTTGAGTGATTATTTAGTCACCTAATTTAGTGATAGTGATGTGATGATGAACGTCTCTAGATAAATATACGATATTAAAAATCTGACAATACGTTTCGACTTATTATTATCAGAGTTTTGGTTCGTAGATAATAATAATATGTCGTAAAACCACCGCAAATGGGCCTAACACAAGGCGCAGTTGTGCAGTTGATGTTCTGGCTTGCGTGCTTCATATGTTCACATAACATTTTTATATAGAACATTTGTATATAAAATATACTATTCTATAATTAAGTTAAGTAACATCTAAGGTACAGGCTCGGCCTAGTTTAGATGTTAGTATTCATAAACTGTGTGTCTAAGGTTTTTGTTACAATAATTGACGACACAGTTAACTTGCAGGATGATCTCGATCGGTTTCAGGCGTACTTCACTAGAAACAAGTTGGATCTGAACGTATCCAAATGCTACGTCTGTACTTTTACACGTAAGCCTAACCCAGTAACATGTCAATACACACTGTCTGGTGCCACGATAGCTAGAGTTAGTTCCGTCAGGGACCTAGGAATTACATTCGACTCCAAATTGTTATTCGATGCACACATTTCTAACGCAATTGATAAGGCAAATAAAGCGTTAGGGTTTGTTTTAAGGGTGTCCAAAGATTTTAAAAACATCAAAACAATAAAAATATTATATTGTTCTTACTTTCGCAGTCATCTTGAATACGCTTCACAAGTATGGAACCCCAACTATGATACCTACATAAATCGTATAGAAAACGTCCAGAAGAAGTTCCTAAGGTATATTCAACATCATACTGGTACATATTTGCCTGATTATTTTAGCCGCTGCCGAAGGTTTCACTTGCTTCCACTGCAGGAGCGAAGGAAAATAGCGGACATTTCCTTTCTACATAAAGTGTTGAGTGGATTGGTGGACGTATCCGGGCTAGTGAGCAAAGTTGGCTTGCGCGTACCTTCTGCATTGTTGAGAAGGCATAATCTTCTCCATACTCCTGCCACTCTAAGCATTTATCGGCAGAATTCATTTATAGTCAGGGCTTGTCACACGCTTAATGCAGTTTGTAGGGAGATTGACATAGATCTATTTAACATCAGTGGGACGAAATTAAAGAGGGTGATGTGTAACCACTTTTTCACACATCGTAAGTAGTCGGTTGGATCGGTTCTGATGTGCCTGTGCGTCCTTAGTTAGCAGCATATAAAAAAAAAAACTTTTCGTTAATGCTTCTTTTGTTTTTTTTTTTTTATCTTGGTTCATATTGTCATAGATGTAGTGGTAACCGCTTTTTATTATTATTTTTCTTTCTTTGTATTGCTTGCTGACATATTGAGTGGAAAAAATGTGAGTGGCTGAAGGTTTTAATTTAATAACTACTGTCGGCAAGTCACGATAATTTTTTTTTTTAAATACTTAACAAATATATGCGAAAACTTGTAATTGGCCATAATTTAGTCATAGTTATATATAATTGTCAATTCTAGCTGTAAGTTTTCTAAATGTAAAAAATAAAATAAAAAATAAAAATAAACACTTTTTTTTTATTAGTTCATATTAAGCAGTAACAGTTAAGACAGTATTTCAATGAATCCAGGCACTTTTGAATCGTCAAAATACATATCAAAAGGATATGGGCGAGCCAAAATGATTCTTGTTATATACTTAGTCATAATCAGAGAAAAGGGTAGTCTCTTCATTTTAATATCGAGGTACCTATTGAATAGTAGTGTATTTAACTAAATATCCCTATTTATGAATAACATTCACAATGTCACATTAAACTTAAGCTGAAGGTTGAAAAATAATTATTTTTATCAAATCTTAGTGTTCTTAAAATTAAGAAGACCAATGACGTCATTTTCATCGGTAGTCGGTCAGGTAGTATAGTCATAAAGATATACTATTATAAAAGTATTATAGACAATAATCCTGAAATGATAATATTATTAGGTATAAAATGATAGGTAATATTAGTAGATGTATAGGTGCGATTCCCAATATTAAATTGTATAGATAAAGATAACTACGCTGGTATAAACGGAACAATAGATAATTGAATCATTGTTACGGCATTCAAAGGTGGAGTTAAATAAAAAATTTGATGTCGATACGGAGCCGTGGGGGACTTAACGGGTTGCCGGGGCTCCGGCTCGAAGGGCAGGAGTAGGAACGGGGTGGGTTTTAGTTAGTAAGAGTCTGATACTCCCTCCCACCTCAATTAGACAGGATCAGTCTATCGATGTAAAGTTAAGCTTTCATTAAATAAATAATAGCATCTTGACTTAACTAAAAATCGCGGGCTACTTTCGTGAAAATACTGAGAAAAGCTCTACTAGTTTCGAACCACAGAGTTTTCACGTGAGTAACTCGCGATTTTTAGTTAATTTAGTATGTCTCATGATAGTTATTATAAAAACATAGCATTTAGTCCAGCTGTACTCAACCTAAAAATATATAAGTGTTCAAAGAAGTGCCCAAATCCAATAGGATTTGACCCTTCAATAGAACCATCTTTGGGTCTACGTACGTACATACATGTGTGATTCGTCTTTTTTGAAAATAAATAACATAAAGCACTTGTATAGAAACCAACTTACAGATTCTCACCTAAGGTTAGCATGCAGCAACAAGCCAGATCTGGACAAACTTATGAAAAAGTGCTCACAGTTCCAAAAATCACATGAATGGTCTAACAAGTTATTATTTTTTTTTTTCAAAAAATTTGTGTCTTATTTTGTTATCTGGGCTAATATTTTAATATTATTATAACTTCTACAACATAACATAACATCACGCATTTTATCCCCGAAGGGGTAGGCAGAGGTGCACATTATACCACTGTACAGTGTAACACCCACTTTTCACTATTTATGTTATGAGTCCCATGTAATAGGGGGTGAGCCTATTGCCATATACCGGGCACAATTCCAGACTCCGTGCTATTACTGAGAATATTTAAAAACCCAGTAATACTTTGCCCGACCCGGGAATCGAACCCGAGACCCCTTGCCCGGCAGCCACACTTACGACCACTCGGCCAACGAGGCAGTCTATAACTTCTACTCTTCTATCTTTCCACTGTTAAAGAGTAAAATAATTCTACGATTTTCTCACCTAAAAAAAAACTTCGTGCTTCGTATATAAAAAAGGTTGAGTACCAATGATTTAGTCAAACAACTTGGTGACCTAGCGTCCGTTTTATTTAGGCATCTTTAGCATACCTATAGTATACAAAAAATCATTTTGGTCGCAATTGTGTAATATGGTGAAATAAATATGAAATTACAATTATGACTCAATTATGTAAAAAAACACAGACAAAGGTCATAAATAAGACACTGCTGTAATTACTATCTTTGGTTACTAGCCATAAATGTTGATTTATTAAAACATAATCTTTATTGCAATAGGTAGATAATGTCAATTTTATTTTGTTGTGTCTATTTATGGCTTAATAGGTAAACTAAACATAAAAAAAATACTTCTCAATTTGATTTTTTTATTACAAAAATGGCGGGTAATGAGAGTCCGTACACAGCTTTCTATCCCAACGTTGTATTGAAATTTATGTTTCAATACTTTTTGTTGTATAATTAATTTTACAGGCATTGACTTGTAGTAGTTATTTGAAATCGTATAACAAAAATTGTTCAAATAACCTAATTTCTATCCCCAGGACCGTATTGTGTGTAACTTTTATTGTAAGATCTGGCAATGTTTGGTAATATATTAAACGAAATTAAATAAATGAATTTTATTTATGTCAAGAAACAGAATAAGTATTCGTTATTATTTTTATTTATACATTCCTTAGTTAAGCCCTTTTTTATGAATTAGACAAAATCCAAGTGTGGTAGCGACCAACGAGGGTGTTGACACTGGGGAAGTCACTTGGGCGGCTGCATTCCAAGCCAAAAGACCAGATACCAACAACAGCACTATTGTGGTAGACGGGGCCACCAGAGTCACCCTGACATTGGTCGCGACCACCAGTCACCCAGCCAGAGCATATCATGTTGTCTGTGACAGGTATCTTACGGAATGCGTATCTGTTTTTGCAATTTATGTGGTTAATCCTTTGCACTTGGATGTGCCGCAGCTGCTGAGATCCGGTCAGTGCACCATACTGTGTAAGAAAGGAAATAGCAGATTAGGTACCCCAACATTTAATGATGTGCTGAATAGAAATTGCGACTAAAAAAGAAGTATTCTTACGTTAATTATTATGTTTTCAGCTTACTCACGTTACTCAAGTTACAACAGTTACGCGAACAAGCTGTTGTTGTTGTTGTGTACATGAATAAATAAAATAAAGTTGTAATATAAATATTCTTACACTGTCTGCTCCCCATCCTGCTACCCAGAGAGGGTCGTTATCTGGTACGAAGTATCTACTGGTTGGAATCCATGCAGGCTGAGCGTAGTTGTCGAAGTGTATATCGGCACTAACACGCAGAAGAGCGAGGTCATGGTCCAAAGAATTTGGTCGATATAACGGGTGAATGATAATTCCATTGACTCCATGCACTTGTCCACCGCTGGTTGGCCAATTAGAACCCACACGGACTCGCCATTTCGGGACTGCGTCAAAACTGTTAAAGGAAATGAGTGTTTTCTATGAACTATTATAGTTACTTAATGAAAACAATATTGAGGCGTTCTGAATAAGCATCATTTTGGAAATTCCACGTAAAAAAATAAATAAATTGACTTACTAAGGACAGTGAGCAGCAGTAAGGATGGAACGATGGTTTACAATGACTCCAGCACATTCTTGGATATACACACTCCATTCGTACGCGTAAAGCAGAGCGACGAGGCTGGGGTACTGGGTGATACTGGCAAGGGTACCATCTATACGCCTATGAGGATTGTAGGGGACCGCTAAAAAAAATACTAATTAGTTAATATTTATATCTACGACTATGAATAATCGACCAGAAAGATGCAACATTTTTCTTGTCTGAATTTCCGAATTTTTGACAGAACATACTGGCTTTATATGATTATATTCTTTGAAATTCAGATCGCTGAATGCATTGTTTGATCTCATATTATGTCACATTACATAATATCGTAAGATCAACTTTCTTAGTAACCATGGGTTATACAAAAAGAGTTTGTTTGTAAACAACTTTAGCTTTGATATATCATCATTTAGCTTAACTCGTCGAGTACCGTCATTATAGACACAATTATAGAACAATAGCTTGCGGTCACCGCTTGGTAATTGACAGTTTAAATGATGACCAGAACGTACCTGCCGCGGTCGCAAAACACAGGACGACTAAAGCGAAGATGCGCATACTGTCAATTTAGTCCGATTAGTGCAGTTAATCGATAGAAGTAATGGTATTTATATCAATATATACTATCATACATGTGTAATCATAAACACAATATAATTTTTTTCCTCTACTATAAACAAAACTGATAACTGATTAACATTAATTTTGCGGATTGTAAGCAAGTAGGATCTGTTCTATTTGATAAAAAAGTATGTTTTTGACAAGGTCCCGTATTAATTTTATTACTTTATGACTGTTAACGCTGATAATTTACATCTGTTTCGATTTACGATAATGTTTTCATTGGTATTCATAAAAATAAAGAGTATCTATGTATATATACCTACGTAGGGTTTTACAAATTGAATTCTCGAAACTCAATTTATGTAATTTTAAGGAAAATTATCAAGCATAATATTATAATAAAAGTATTATGTATTTATTGCTTACTAGCTCACAACTTTATCAATCCACCCTTTCTTATGTCCAACATCCATTATAACTGACTAAAAATGACAGAGATGGTGCCATATTTAAGAACAACTTAAAATTGAATAGCCTTCCAGTATTCAGGCGTTAGTTTTCTCCTAATTATAAAGGAGGAAAATAAAATGAACAATACTTTCTTTTTAAAAGAAGGAAAAGAAAATAATTTCGGTCTTTATCGTCTCCAGATTTCCGCACTGGCCTCTACTTTAGTGATTTAAATCTTCAAGATATATCTTGCCAAGAATACGTGGTACGTTTTCCAGTAAAACATGATGCAACCTCCACAGCCCATTACTATCCATTGCTGGATAAAATACTTATCCATTTTTTTTAAGGGGCGAAAATCATCGAATGACCTCTCCCGCCTGGGTGAGGCGGGAGGGAGTGTCAGACTCTTACTGACTAAAAACCACCCCGTTCCAACTACTGCACTTCGAGCCGGAGCCCCGGTAACCCGTTAAGTTCTCTGTGGCATACTTAGCCATTAGGATTCACTTTGAGAATTTATATTTATAGAGCTGTAGTTTGTACGTCAGGTGTGATTGAAACAAATAACTTATTAACATATCTAACTGTTTAATGCTCACTGTTTCGTGTAGTATACAATGGTTCTTTTGACTATGAATGTTCATAGTAATGTGGCTAAATCTAGTCTAATTATCTAGTCGAACAGCTACAGTTTTCATGGTTATTTTGGAAGATCCCACCAAATTTTTGAACCACTGCAACTAAAACAAGTACGTAACAATAAAGATCAAAAGAATAAAAAAGACAAATGTATTTTCCACTTTTGTATCAAGAGTCAGAAAATTCTGTCCAATTGAGTTCAGTTGTGAAGCACTACAAGTAAATAAATTTGAAATAACACAAGAAACAATATAAATAAAAAAAGTATTTATTTATAAAACAACATTCAATTCACACTGTTTATGCTAATTTAGGTATACATTATCAATGTCTGTAGTACTAGCGATGCTAGCAGGGCGATTTAACTCTATATCTATCTACCTCTATTTGCTCTATAGAGGCGACAGTCCTACCCACTACCCTAGATGGATAGGGAGCCGTTAAAGACAACAAATAGCGAAGTTGATTAATACAGGTTATAACTATATATACCTATATCAATAGAGACTACCAAATTGCCTAATTGGTCATATTAAATGTTCGAATTTTTCTTTAACCGATTAGTGAATAAAAATTGTCTGAAACTATGACTAATAAGACGTTATCACTTGGTAGTAGGCCTTAGAATTTATAAAGATAAACTTTTTTAAACATGTATTTGATTTCTTATTCTCCATGAACTCTTGTCCGACATATTATATACAATACATGTTTTATTACATTTACATTAACCCTACTGGATCAGCCCACCCACGCGATGAGCGAGCCTGTTCCAGCAGAAGGCGCCCGTTCACGAGCATGACGTGTGGGCCAGCAATCCGATCAACCATTTCGTAGAGAACGGAGTGACCCAGCCCACAGTGCCACCGACTGTAAAACATTTAAATATATACTTAGAACATATTTGATTGCCCAAAATAATTATTAGATGTGTGCCTACTTTTAGGATTAGTATAGAAATGAATGTGAAAATATTACCATGATATACTAAATGGTTGCTTCAACCACCCCTAAAACATTTCTTCACTACAAGCCACTTAGCGTGACGTAGCATCTAAACTAACCATTTATTTGCTTAGGTATCACTTATTGTAACAATGAAGTCCCCTGCGTCTCACTATCATGAATTTCATATAAATTATAATTAAAAAGATTTGAAATAACATACCATAGTTCCCACTTCTATACCTTTTTGTAAAAGATAGAAAATACTTGACAACTGGGTTCAGTTAAAGGGTAATTTAAAATGATTGAATAGGATATTCCGATTTGCTTATTTAATTCATCAAAACAAAAGACAGTTTGTAGAAATGTATTCAATTTATTTCAAATCAAATTTTATGCGTTATCCAAGATCCAGTTAGTGTAGCTGGCGACGCGCATGTTGACGCCAGGGAAGTCAGCGCGCCCACACTCGTAACCAAAAGAGCAGACACCTACGACGACCCCGTGGTGAAAGATAGGACTGCCGGAATCACCCTGGCACTGATCGCGACCTCCAGTGGGCCAACCAGAGCACAGCATTTTGTCAGTGATGACCATATTCTCAACAGCGTATTGCTTCTGGCAAGTTTCCAAGCCAATTTTCATGACTTTAACGTGACGCAGCTGGTCAGCTTCAGAGGTGTCACCGTACTTAGGAAAATAATTGAGAATGTAATATACATTTTTCACAAGCATATTTTAAGAAATTCAAATGCAAATATCCTTACATATTGGGCTCCCCATCCCGCAGCCCAGAGATAGTCGTTATCGGGAACAATATATGTAGTGCCAGCGATGGGAGCAGGGCGACTTAACTCATTGTAGTTGATGTTAGAGGCAGAGCGCAAGATACATATGTCGTGATCTGCAGTTGCTGGATAGTACAGAGGGTGGAGGATGATACCATTAATGTTATGAACAATACCTCCGCTATGGGCCCAAGATGAACCTAGTCTAAATCGGTAAACGCTGACCGACCCTTCACTGTAAATAGAAATATTTTGTGATAAACAATTTGAATGCAAGAATCTTATTTAAGACCTAATGTTAAACAGGACACTTATAAGGAAGTACTTACTAAAAACAATGGGCGGCGCTAAGAACAGATCGGTTGTTAAGAATGCTTCCACCACACCATTGCCCATATTCACCCCAATAATACATTATCAATCCTGCAACCATACTGGGGTACTGGTCTATGGTGGTAACAGTCCCACCCACTATCCTTTGTGAACTAGTGGGGATGGCTAGAAGAAAGAAATCAAATGTCTAAGTGAGTGAAATTTTTATAAATATGAAATAGACTCTGCATGAAAAATTTTCCACTTAGTTCGTGATGACGTACCTGCGACGGTCGCGAGACACAGGGTGATTAGAGCGAAGGCGCGCATACTGTATTTTGTTCTGATTACTGTAGTTATTTGTTGGTGGCAAGTATTTATATCTAGCGTACTATCATATTGCCTCAATTGATAATACATATATTTTTTATGATTTTCTATACTAACCCTAAAAACGGATTAGTAATATATTATACAACTTTACAAGTTGTACGAAAAAGTTGTAAGCCAAATTGGTTCAGTCATTCTCAAGGCTACGACATATATATTAGCCATATTAGGCTACGGCAATTAAAATGCTAGTTAAGAATAAATAACATTTAATAAAAGAAGTACAATGCATATAAAAAGCTAATTATGCATTTTTTACAATTCAATTAGTAAAATTGGCTACCCGTATGTTAATGGCGGGCAAGCCAGTTCGAGCTATGCACCCATGTAGAACCCACTCGAATTCAGTACTTGCCAACGGATGAATCATATAAATGAAACATTTTATAATAAAGCTTAGGTCTTGCAATATAATCAATATCCTGATAGATTTCGACCGATGCCGATAATAATAAACGGTCATTGTGTAACTATTTGACATAATATTTATGAAGGTGTAATGTATTAACTATACGCAGTGAGCAGCGGTGAGGACGGACCGGCTGTTGAGGATATTGCCGCCACATTTTTGTCTATACATACTCCACTCATATACGAACAAAAATACCAACAACAACAAGTATATTGAGGTAATCCGAGAAGAACTATTCAGGAGTGCTAAAAATAGTAATATAGAAGTATCTGAGTCGCTAAACACAAAAATAAGAGAAAACAAATTAATGTTCTAGTAATTGAAAGTATTGAAATAAAATGCTATAGAAACTTGGCTCGTGATACACAGGATTAGAACAAAATAGGCAAGCATATTTTTATTTTTTATTACTATAGTTAGTATGAACACCAATAGTATATCGTATGTATATAGTATTGTTAACTTTGATAAAATTAAATATATCGTCTATTCCTTTTTTCAAATTTAAATAAAATAGGTTTGGTTGTTCAATAGTTTGTTAGTTTTCGGGTGATTTTTATCGGGTTGTTTCTTGTGGGGCAGGGCGGAAAATTGGTACACGTATCATCTAGTAGCCATCATTCGGCACCGCGCATAGAATTCTGTGTGATCTGAGAAACGTGGGTTTCCGGAATTTTGGAGATGTGAGGATTGGAGGTACATTTGGTAATGGTACATTGAATTGGACTGGGCCATGTGAAAATCAGTAAAAGAAACAGTTAAGAATAAAGAACATTTTATGAGTGTTCTACAATCCAATTGGTGAAATTGGCCACACGTATGTTAACGCTGGGTAGACCCAAGACAACAGCAGAGCAGACACCAACAACGACTCCATTATGGAAAATAGGACTGCCGGAATCCCCGCTGTACTGACTGCGATCCCCAGTAGGCCAGCCAACACAGATCATATAATCAGCAGGAAGCACGTAATTGGCAGCCTGGAATAGTTTTTTGCAGACGTCTAAATTTACTTTCTCAAATTTGACATGACGCAGCTGCCCCAGTTCAGACTCATCCTCAGGCTTAAAAAAAGAAAAAAAAAATACAGATTTATTTTATTGTTTAGAAGGAATTTTATTTTAATTGTTATGTTTTCGGCTTCTTCATGTAACTGTTTGACGAGGAACTCGACTAGTTTCAAGCTATGCTAAAGGCTCATGTTCATTAGCAGCATTCCGTGACAGTCACCGCGTCGCGATTCGCGGAATGCTGCTAACGAATATGATTACGTTAGTAAGCCGAAAACGTAATAATTAATTGAGTATGACTCACGGAAATTTTGTTTTGTCAAAATAATATACTCACATCAGGCCCACCCCATCCAGCAGCCCAAATGTAATCGTTATCGGGAACAACGTATGTAGTGCCAGCGATGGGAGCGGGGCGAGTGTAGTCGCTGTACTCTATGTTAGTGGCAGAGCGTATGACACCGATATCATGTATGATCATGGGTGGGTAGTCCAGTGTATCATACAGGAAGATGCCATTAATGTTATGAACGACACCACCGCTATTCGACCACGTGGACCCCACTCGAATTCGATACTTGCTGACGGATGCGTCACTTAAAATGGAAACATTTTATTTTAATTACACGATTAATTAGTATTTAATGTTTTGACATTATATACATGAGGATGTACATAGCCACTTACAATACACAGTGAGCGGCGGTGAGGACGGACCGGTTGTTAAGGAGACTGCCGCCACAAATGTGAGCAACGTGATTCCACTCAAATACGAACAAAATTACAACCATACTGGGGTATTGCTCTATGGAGGTGACAGTCCCACCCAATATCCTAGAGGGACTGGTCATTGCTAGAAGAAAATGTACAAGATATTAATTTTTTTAGTAATTTGAAAATATTCATAAATAGGCATAACACATAGACTTCTCAAATGAGAACTTTGCTTGTAATGGCATACCTGCGACAGTCGCGATACACTGAATTAGAGCAAAGACACGCATATTGTTATTTCTGATTAGTGTAGTTAATAATTGCAGGTGACTAGTATTTATATCAATAGATACTATCATACTATCTCAACTGATAATATTCAATGTTTATATTTCCTTTACCAAATCTTAAGCAGATTAGTGACAGTAAAATTTTATGGCGTCATTACGCCCGCCGCACATGACATAGCGACATTGGCGTAGTGTCGTGAACGAGTATGCGGGCCTTATACCACTGGTGACAAGGTCTTGGACTACTCTCTGTTAGTGGAGAGCGTATCATACCGTTATATTTTTTTAACATGGGTCTAGTCTAGCGTATCATATAGGAAGACAGTATTAATCCTGTGCACTACACCACCGCTATGCGGCCACGTGGAACCCACTGAAATTCATTACTTGTTAACGGAATTGTTACTGTAATTAGAATTATAATTTATTTGATTTCTACATTTATTTTACTTTAACCTAAATCCTAAACGTTAATGAGATAATTATACCTACCATTTTTATCAGGTGAAGTTTAAAAAAACCTTAAAGAATATTACTAATTTTAGTTTAAATAAATCAATAAATAATTACATGTAGTTTATATTTATACCAATGGAGACTATTATATTGTTAACGTTGATAAAATTAAATACATCATCTTTTTCTCTTTTTAAATTAAAAAAAATATTATCGCTGTTCAAAATTTTGGTAGTTATCGAGTGATTTTCATCGGGTTGTTTATTGTGGGGCAGGGTGGAAAATTGGTACACGTATCATCTAGTGGCCATTATTCACCATAGATCTGAGAAACGTGGGTTTCCGGAATTTTGGAGATGTGAGGATTGGAGGTACATTTGGTAATGGTACATTGAATTGGACTGGGCCATGTGAAAAACAATAAAAGAAACAGTTAAGAATAAAGAACATTTTATGAGTGTTCTACAATCCAATTGGTGAAATTGGCCACACGTATGTTAACGCTGGGTAGACCCAAGACAACAGCAGAGCAGACACCAACAACGACTCCATTATGGAAAATAGGACTGCCGGAGTCCCCGCTGTACTGACTGCGATCCCCAGTAGGCCAGCCAACACAGATCATATAATCAGCAGGAAGCACGTAATTGGCAGCCTGGAATAGTTTTTTGCAGATGTCTAAATTTACTTTCTCAAATTTGACATGACGCAGCTGCCCCCGTTCAGACTCATCCTCAGGCTTAAAAAAAGAAAAAAAAAACAGATTTATTGTATTGTTTAGAAGGAATTTTATTTTAATTGTTATGTTTTCGGCTTCTTCATGTAACCGTTTGACGAGGAACTCGACTAGTTTCAAGCTATGCTAAAGGCTCATATTCATTAGCAGCATTCCGTGACAGTCACCGCGTCGCGATTCGCGGAATGCTGCTAACGAATATGATTACGTTAGTAAGCCGAAAACGTAATAATTAATTGAGTATGACTCACGGAAATTTTGTTTTGTCAAAATAATATACTCACATCAGGCCCACCCCATCCAGCAGCCCAAATGTAATCGTTATCGGGAACAACGTATGTAGTGCCAGCGATGGGAGCGGGGCGAGTGTAGTCGCTGTACTCTATGTTAGTGGCAGAGCGTATGACACCGATATCATGTATGATCATGGGTGGGTAGTCCAGTGTATCATACAGGAAGATGCCATTAATGTTATGAACGACACCACCGCTATTCGACCACGTGGACCCCACTCGAATTCGATACTTGCTGACGGATGCGTCACTTAAAATGGAAACATTTTATTTTAATTACACGATTAATTAGTATTTAATGTTTTGACATTATATACATGAGGATGTACATAGCCACTTACAATACACAGTGAGCGGCGGTGAGGACGGACCGGTTGTTAAGGAGACTGCCGCCACAAATGTGAGCAACGTGATTCCACTCAAATACGAACAAAATTACAACCATACTGGGGTATTGCTCTATGGAGGTGACAGTCCCACCTCTTATCCTAGAGGGACTAGTCATTGCTACAAGAAAATGTACAAGATATCAAATTCTTTAGTAATTTTAAAACATTCATTAATAGGCATAACAAATAGACTTCTCAAATGAGAACTTTGCTTGTAATGGCATACCTGCGACAGTCGCGATACACTGAATTAGAGCAAAGACACGCATATTGTTATTTCTGATTAGTGTAGTTAATAATTGCAAGTGACTAGTATTTATATCAATAGATACTATCATACTATCTCAACTGATAATATTCAATGTTCATATTTCTTTTACCAATTCTTAAGCAGATTAGTGACAGTAAAATTTTATGGCGTCATTACGCCCGCCGCACATGGCATAGCGACATTGGCGCAGTGTCGTGAACGGGTATGAGTGCATGCATGTATTGCGGGCCTTATACCACTGGTGACAAGGTCTTGAACTACTCTATGTTAGCGATATATTTTTTTATCATGGGTGGGTAGTCTAGTGTATCATATAGGAAGACAGTATTAATCCTGTGCACTACACCACCGCTATGCGCCCGCGTGGAACCCGTCCAAATTCATTACTTGCTAACGGAATTGTTACTGTAAATAGAATTATAATTTACCAACGACAAAATAAATTCCCTAACTGACGAATTAATTATATTTTTAATTTTCATAACCTATCATCATCCCTTATTTGTATTACTTTTGAGGATCGCATGATTACAAACATATCTAATGGACGTATTTTCATGAAATCGTTTCTATATCTATATTTTATTATTTTTATGATGATGAGATTAAAACAATATTTTCCTTAACAATCAAGATGTCGTAAAGGATTATACAACTATTTTATTGTTATAATCAACCAATTTTTATGTTTTAATCATGAACATAATCGAAAAATCTGATAAGTAAGTATCCTACTGGGAAATCAATTATTTATTACATTTATTAGCTCTATATATCTTCGTCCGCGGAGAATATTATAAGCAGAATTTTTGTTTTTGTTATATTTTGCAAAAAAAGTGTAGCCCTATATTTCACCCAGACACATTAGCTACACAATAATGATATTTTCAATATAATCTGTCCGTTCCTTTCGGAAATAGCTTGCATAAATTATACAATCAGATTTCAAATAATGTATTAATACATTAATTGAACCTCCCGTAACATCACTTTTTTTCTGTGAGGCCGTAGGATACTACGGCACCGGCCCATTCGTAACAAAGTATGGCTCTCCCACACTTAAACTGTCAAACACCAAGCGGTCACCGGTGACCGCAACCTATTGTTCTATAATTGTGTCTACAAAACCGGTACTCGACGAGTTAATAAAGGTTAAATCAAAATACAAGTTAGAAAACGAATTTTATTCAAAAAGTCGTAAAATCTTAAAACGAATTTTAAGAGTTTGAAACGATCCATTCAGTGTGGGCAGCAATGCGGGTATAGATACGAGGCAAGTTTGTTCCATCGCATTTATTTTCGAAGGTGCTGATGCCGACCACAACATTGTTGTGGAATACAGGACCACCGCTCTCGCCTTCGCAGGTATAATATTCTGGACCTTCGGTAACAGGGTTGCTTGTGCACAGTGTGAATTCATTGATCACAATATAAGGGTCTTCATATTGATCATCGCATACCTTTTCATTAACCTTTGTTACTTCCGAGTAACGTAACTGGTCAGATTCCGACAACTGAGATAAAAAAAAATTATTTTAGTATAAAAACATGAAACATAGTACTGTCACAATAAAAAATATCTTGAACTCTTCGAAATGTCCTTACTGTAATCATATTCTATACATAGATATACTCGACGTCAATAATATTGTCAGCAAACTTACCCAACTTACGTCCCATCCAACAGCGACGAGCTTTGTATTATCAGGGAGAATATAGTCGGGGCCAGCTATATAAGTGCTGTGAGTTACGAGCATGCGTTCTTGGTCAGCACGTAAGATAGCAATGTCATGCAATCTATCTCCCTGCCAGAAGTAAGGATGAACGATGATCCCGCTCACGCCATAAAGGGTACCTTCATTAAAAACGTAGCTGGAGCCAATACGAATGCGCCATAACCGGACGTTGTCATTACTAGAAAAATAAAAAATAAGTTTTGCAGTTTCAAGTAATGTAAATTAACCTTTTATTATTATTGGTTACTTACACAGGACAATGGGCTGCGGTTAGGACGGATCTGAAGTTAAGAATGACACCACCGCATACTTGTGTGTATCCCATCCATTCATACACGCCCAAAAGAGCAACAACGTTAGGATATTCATCAATAGTAGTAGGTTTGCCACCTACAATCCTCTGTGGACTCTTGGAGCTCGCTAGAAGGAAACACAAAATTTCACTTAAAACCTATCCATGACGAAAATACCTATATAAATTTTGCATATCTCATATTTGATGAACAATAATATCAGTTGGATACTGATAACGTACCTGTGGTAGCCGCAAAACATACGGCGAGTAAAACGATGATACGCATATTAACGGCTACTAACTATTCGATAAGTGTAAGTAGTTCGTAACAAATGGTTTGTTATATACAAATATCAGGTTATTTATCAACGAAGATTGACTATCAGACAATAAAGCGAAAAGATTAAGGAAGAACACATTTTTTCCTTTTAAAAACCCGAAGGGATTAGATATCTGTATACCTCAAGATAATTTTTATTGTTTCCAAATATTGTTAACACTTTTTGGGTTCCGTGAAATATTTGAATATAAATTTGATTGTCAATTTAAACACATTATTGGTTTCGAAATTAAATCGATATTTTTCTAAACATTTGTTATTTTTTATCGATTTAGAATTAACGCATTCGTCGCGGAAAGATGGCGAATAGACGCGGCAGGGACGCCAGTCAATTTTTTTATGAGGCTACTCATTTGTATATTAGAGGTATATTATGTAATTCTTCTGACACACAAGTGGTGCAATGTATTCATACCTACCTATTCAGTACGTGTGAAGTTGTTTTACTCCAATCGGTAATACTATGTATAGGTATTGATCTTGATAAAAATTACACTAGGTTTTCTGATAATATTGATTTTTCTAATAATGATTTATCAGTCATCATCAATCAATTAAACTGTCAAACACCAAGCGGTCACCGGTGACCGCAACCTATTGTTCTGTAATTGTGTCTACAAAACCGGTACTCAACGAGTTAATCATTGTCTACATAATTATCAACTCTATTCTTTTACAGACCAAAAGACAATACGTGTCTGAATCTATTAGTAGTAGTAATATACTGAAATTCGTATTGACGTTGGTTTCTTATGGATTTCAAAAGAGGAAATGCTATATTCCTATGGGAAAGATTTAAGAAGTCACGGCCAAAAAGTTGATACTGATAAAAAATACTTTAAGAATTTATTTATTGGGTCTTTGAGGACTAAGAAGTATTTTTTTTTAAATATCTAGCTATTTGTATTTTGAATGAACTGCAATATCATCTTTGCTATTTTGGTTTCTCTTTTCTCACATTGTCTAAGATTTTTATCACAGTTTTTACCTTCTATTATAAATGATACGAGTATCAATAATTCATTGCCAATTGTCATTGTCATTGTATAAAAGCATTCCTCGCATTGATGAGTTATTTATTACTACCGCTCGTGGTATTTAGCTACCAGCACTTGTAAATAAACATCAGATTGTGCACTATCAGATGTTGTTCGATTAAGTTTATGATATTATCAGTAGGATCATGTGTTCCAATAATTGAATTACGATGAGTACTTTAGTAGTGTTTAGAGTGTTGTTCAAGTGACAGTCAGTAAGTAATATTAAGATAGATAATAAAACCAGTAACAACGTTAAACATATGTAATTTATTATTTAATAAAGAAATCACTAGTTTTCTCTAATAGTATGATGCTAATTGTATACGTGTCAATCAATATATCTATGTATTCAATATATAGACAGTCATTACATACACACATACATACATAGTATGTCTAATCGGGATAGGGTTAATATCAATGAAGTATTTATTAATAGAAAAGCGATACAAGTTTGTTTATTTTATGAATCATTTACGCATTATCTACGACCCAATTTGAGTAGTTGGCCACTCGAGTGTTTACACCGGGGAAATCAGCACGACCGCACTCAATGCCGAAAGAGCAGACACCAACAACGACACCATTGTGATAAATTGGGCCACCAGAGTCACCCTGGCACTGGTCACGACCTCCGGTAAGCCAACCGGAACACAACATATAGTCAGTAATAACCATATGCACCACATCGTATTGCTGTTTGCACCTATCCAAGTTTATCTTCAACACTTGCACGTGACGCAGCTGTGCTGAACCCGAAGTGGCTCCATACTGAAAAATTCAGATAGTGAAACTTGTTACTCTGTCCAATTGAACATTTTTATTAGATGCTAGTAAACTTACATAAGTTGTACCCCATCCGGCAGCCCAGAGGTAATCGTAGTCTGGAACTCTATAGTTAGGTCCAGCGATGCGAGCGGGCTGAATAAACTCATTGAATTCAAATGGAGTCGCAACTCGTAGAACGGCGATATCGTGATCCATAGTCGGTTCTACTCCATTTAATGGATGTATAATGTTCCCACTGACACGGTGAATTGAACCACCAGCGTTAGCAGTAGTAGAGCCAGCACGAACACGCCATTTACTAACCGCATCAAAACTGCAAGAGCATTTGTTCATTATATCCCATTATTGGTATTTAAAAATGAACCTAACACGCATAAAAATAACTTACTAAGTGCAATGTGCTGCAGTCAGAACCGATCGGCTGTTTAGAATGGCACCGGCACACTCTTGTGCGTATATTACCCATTCGTATACAAACAGTAGAGCGACAATGCTGGGGTACTGGTCTATCGTTGTGACGTCACCGCCCACAATCCTTTGATGCGTAAGCTTGGGAACAGCTATAAATAAATACAGTCAAATAAATCTATGTCAATATCCTACTAATTATTGCATAATATTGAGAAATAATACACAAAGATAGACATTGGTCGTGGAACTTCACTAGTAACTTACCTACCACAGTCGCGACACAAAAAGCTGCCAAAATGATGATACGCATGTTGTTGAGGATATAATGACAATGAACTAATATATAGAAATTCGTTATTTATATCTTGACCATATATAAAGATTAATATGTTGACTACTGTATTGCAAATTGAGACTAATTGTCGGTGTCATATTTTATTATCATTGGCAGTATCAATATGTTATATTTTTATAACTGTTTTATATTTATGATAGCTAGTTGATAAGTTTTGGACTTCCATTTTCTTTGATATTTTTAGTGTTACATCGTGTGGTGTAAGTCGCTGTCGACTAATCTAATTCCTGTTTTGGGTAAAAATTGCTATAAATACCTAATTCAGGAATCAAGTTCAAAACAAATAAAAAATTCAACTCTATTTACGGTGTGGAAAAATTGTTAATTATGTATGTAGTTATAATAATCGATATAATTTTGATGAGTGTACCTAAACTGTTGTTTGTTGTAAGGCAAATCCTCTGCTAAAGTCGGTCACCGGTGACTTCATTGACGTTTAATGTGTTAAACACAAGAAGTTATAGAAATCTGTTATCTAAAGTTCATCTTAAACACTAAGAAGCTTGTGTTCTGTAGGTAACTTTCTATTCACCTCTTCAATTCAACATCTCATGCCAGCCCAGTTTATGCGTAACCGTTTATGTTCCACTTCATTTCGATATCATTGGTCCACTTGATTTCTTCCTCTAAATAGTTCACGAGATTAATTCTATTTAATGCAGATAACAACAATATTTTAAAACCATATTTATAACTGTGTTAATTTAATTCGACTGCACGGTTGGTGCGGTGTCTGGGCGACCGGCTGCCGTGCCACGTGTCGCGGGTTCGATTCCCGCACGGAACAACACTTTGTGTGATCTACAAATTGTTGTTTCGGGTCTGGGTGTCATTGTGTATGTGAACTTGAATGTTTGTAAATGCACCCACGACACAGGAGAAAATCCTAATGTGGGGCAACGTTTTTTAAAAGAGAGAATCTAAAATAAGAGAAACGCTTTTATATAAAAAACCTGTTACAAATTAAATTTATTACTTTAATTATGGTCTCAATAATACAACGTAAGAAAAATGCAAAATATTTAGTATAAAGACTAGACCCCCAAGGTATAGGAACAAGGCATGAAATAATTTTTAAGACAATGAATATATGATGACTAAGCATGATCACTTGGACATCATCATTTGGATTTACCCAAACCATGGTGGTGCAAAGTCGATAAGGACTTCTCAATTTTGAGCAGTCTGCAAAAAGATTTTTGTAGCTTAGTTCAAGCATTTCCTAATTAAATCAGATAAAGAGATTTTGGTGGATCAATTTCTGGTGATATAAATATTCAAACATTTGATTATATGATTATAGTCTTCTCAGCAAGACAGTAACAATATGCGTACCCTTGCCATACTGGCCTTTTGTTTAGCGGTGGTCGCAGGTGTGTTATATATTAACTTAATATTATAAATGTGAAAGTATCTCTACCTATTTTTCATCTAAACTAGTAAATGAAAGTCAGATGCAAAGACCTAAACTGTGCCGGTGACCGCAGAATAGAGTGAACTCTTCTAGGGGATGTTATAATTGAGCTAACTCTCAAAGATTACACAATTGACAGAGACCAGGCAACATCACCATGTGATAAACATGCAAATTTTAAACTACAATCTTAATTTTTTATCGATCATAGATATCTATAAATATCTTTATATATATAATTCTGCTGTGCAATACACAAGTATGTTATTGAACTCCTCCTAAACGGTTGGACCGATTTAAATAATTTTTTCTGTATGCGTTTGAGGGGTGCCCTGGATGGTTTAGATTTGTGAATCAGCCCGGCAGATGGCGCTGCAGTCGAAATCTAGGTTATTTATCCTAAACGACTGAATTGATTTGAATGAATTTTTGTTTATACATTCAAGTGGTGGCTTAAAAAATCGGCATTACGCGTACGAAGTCGCGGGCAGAAGCTAGTTATTTTATATATTCACAGAAACTTGTTCGTTTACTCTTAAAAAATTGTTATAAATGTAACTTTTTTAATTGACCGTATACAGATAATAAC